TGAGCAAATAATCATAATGTGAGCGATCAATAATATCTATGCTCAGTGAAGTATATGATAAGTCATGGATACCGATAACAAATTTCCTACAAATGATTAATATGCTCAACTGATATGAACTAGTATTGTTTATGTTCTTATTAAATGAGTAGAGCACAATTTTGTCAGATCCCTATGGTGATTGGTTTCAATTCATATTCATCTGGTCCACAGCAAATTAAAGTAAGAAAATATTTCACAGCATAAGAAAGTTTGGTGAAATCTAGATAAATAAGAGACTTACTTTATTACTAGCGGCCCTTCGATCATTAGTGACGGCCCTGAACTATCAGGGGGATATGCTTGGTGCAGGCTAGTCCTCGTACCACACTGATAAATTCTACTGGCATGTCCATCAGGGCCAGCTTTTGAAGTGAGGTCAAATTTTGGAATCCTGCTGGAACAATTAGCATACTTCTCAAACCAATGAGCTCCATATAATTCAGGATTGGCATGGTCCCAGACTCAACCTCCATGCAACTCAGCTGCTCCATGTCAGCTAAGTGCAATTTCTCGAGCTTTGGAAACCAACCTGCCCTGAAAGTCATGATCCACCCCTCATAGATGCTGTAAAGGTGAAGTTCAACTAGATGTGACATATGTGCAAATGAAGGAATTGGATCTGCTTGCAACCTGGACCACCCCATGCGTAGATCTCGAAGTTTGCCAAAACTGCCGAATATTGTTGGGATAACACCTCTTTGCAACTCGCCTCTCAGGTAAAAGCTTTCAAGATTTGGCAAAGGATCTAGGTTTTCCAGATCAAGAACTTCTTCCTTGGCATATGCCATTATAAAAAGATGAGAAAGGTGCGCCAATCTTGCGATGGACGCCCATAATTCCTTAATGTGCCTACGCTTCACTTTCATTATTTCAAGTCTTCGGAGTAATGCCAAGTTGCAAAGATTCATGACTATATCTTTGTTTGCTTCCACAGGACCCAGTTCTTGCATATCCTTTAGAAGACAAATTCCGGGATATACTTTTGCACCTTCATAGGAATCAAATATTCTTCCATCATAATCATGGATGACATATGTTCGCAGAAATCGGAGCTCAGTCAGCTTCTTTATTTCAGGTGGCAGTTCCACTACACGAGTTACCATAAGATCTAGCATCTGCAGCTTCCTCAACTTACACAATGCTTTGGGAACCACTTCAAGATTGGTGTAAGATAAATCAAGGTAGCGCAAATTGAACAGAGTGGTCACAACATCAGGGAGCTTCGTTATCTCTGCGAATTGTAAGGACAAGACTCGTAGCAATCTGAAATTTTGAGTAGCAGTTTCTACCCAGGAGGATGATACGTATTGATCAAACAAAATGAAGGACCGTATCTTTTCCCCACCATCAAGAGTATCTTCAATGCTGTCAGCTTTCAGTACTGAAACACGTCGTGCTTCTCTGCTGTGCATTGCATCACGAGAGTTATCCAGAAGAAGAGAAAATTTCCCACTTGCGCACTTGCTTACAACTATATCTCTTACAAGGTCATGCATTTGCAATGTCTGGGCCATGCCATGAGCATCCCTCTGAACCACTTGAAGAAGCGAACGTTGAGCAATTTCATTGAGATACTCATTCCCTACTTCCTCCATAGTTATGCTTGGCCCTCTTTCTTCTATGAATCCTTCAGCTATCCATAACCGAATAAGCTCATCTCTTCGAATCTCGTAGTCTTCAGGAAATATACCACAGTATAGAAAGCAGTTCTTCAGATATCCTGGTAAATGGTTGATGCTAAGGTCGAGGGCATTCCTCACGGAGCTGAGCTCTGGGTTGTTAACTATCTGCCAATCCAGCTGATGATAGAAGCATTTCCATTCATTTTCAGATAGCCTCTTGCGCATCAACAAACTTCCAATGGCAACAATAGCTAGTGGCAACCCTTCACACTTGTCCACAATCTTTTCTGCCAAATAAATTAGACTCTGGGGACATGTTTTCCCTTCTAATCTTGGAAAGGCTTTTCTACAGAAGAGGTCCCATGCTTCTTCCTTTCCAAGAGTTTTAAGCTGAATGCCGTGCTCATCATCAGCCAATGAAGCAACATCTTCATTTCGTGTAGTTATGATGATCCTGCTTCCGTTTTTGCTTATACCCAGTGCATGATTCAATAATACCCAGGCATCTCGACTCCACATGTCGTCCAAGACTATCAAATACCTTTTGTCCTGCAAGAAGTCCGTTAGTGTTTGTACCAAGCTTGCAGCATCCCTAGTGTCAACCTGATGAGGGATGTCCTTTTCCTTCTCCTGGAGCTGCTTTAATAGTTCCCTCAACAGATGTTCAATGTTGTAACTTTGAGAAACTGATATCCATGCAGAACAGTCAAAATTCTGCTTAATTTCATCCTTTTTATAGACCTGACGGACAAGAGTCGTTTTGCCTAAACCACCCATACCACAGACAGAGACGATTGTTCGTTCTTCTTGCCCATGTATCAACTGTTGTAGAAGCCATGATGTTTCTTTTTCAATCCCGACCACCTCATCCTCGATGTTTATACATGTTGAGTCCAGAGCATGTTCCAGCTGACCGTTCTGGCTTGTGTGGCTAACTTCTCCTTCTGCACTGATTGTGATGCCATAACGATCTCTCATGCTTGTGAGCTTCGAAAGGCGGACCTCAATCTGCTTAAGCTGTTCAGTAATGCTTCGCCAACCACCAGCATGTTTGGAACGCCGCCATAGTTTCTTCAGTGAACTACAACCTTGTGTTTGTGTAGTTGATTGTCCAAGCAGGTATTCATACCCGTCAATTACATCCTCGGCGTCATGTGAAACCCTCTTTACCTCATCAAGCCACGCATCAAAAGCCAGATTACGTGATGAGCACATTGTTACTTGGATTAGAAAAGCTTTCATAACTCTAAATTCAATCTCAAGCTGCTTCATGTTGTTCTCAGCTTCAAGTAAATCCGATGCTTCTTTTCCTAACCGTGAGCCTATTGCTTTTAGAGCATCCCGCCCCAAACTAGCAGCAATTTTCTGAAGCACGACATAAACAACAGCCTCTGCCATCTTTTCTTTGTAGACTGTCGAATGCCTGGCTAAGCTTCTTCCAAGTTAAACGCAGTGATCTTCTATGTCCTGACATTGTTGAAGAAGATCATTAGATGAATGTAAGTACTATGACTAGTGTAGCATGGGAACCTAAAAGACACATATACATAGCATACAGAATCAGCATACGAGATTGTGAAGTTTGCATCTAGTTCATATTTGTCAGATACATCGAGCACAAATGTTCTTGTTTTAGGTTGTAAGATAGTGCTACCAAGTACAACACCTGTATGAGGATAAGAGAAAGGGGAAATAGTACAAGCAAAGTGCGTCATTATTAAAGTCTTCCTTCCTCATTACGTTTGGTTAAATGGAAATCTTGGATGCCCAGAACGGGACGGTCACTACAGCAAGCAACTTTGGAAGTAGAAAACCTTACAACTCTGTTTTGGGAGCTTCTGTTCGTCGGCAACCTAGCATCTCCAGGCTCCAGCCTCAATTAGATGGAGGCTTGAAAGTTGCAGAAAGATGGCTGTGTCCTAGATCATTTGCCTCTGCTCCTACATACATAATAAATTACTAGCTGAGGCTGGGATCCTTAATCTGCAGATCTAGCCGAGTTTCGGTTGGCTCTTTAGCCTAGATCTGAAGCAAGCGGGAGTAAAATATGTAGTAGAACAAGAGATAGGGAAACCTCTAATCTAGAGCAGTCAGCTAAGTTAAAACAAGTGCAGAACTTCATAGGCATGTTCATAGTAGAAGAAACGCTGAGCCCTCAAGAACGGAAATTTGGGAAGAAAACTTCAGGGAGATCCTTGAAGGGAAGATCTTACCAGCCGGAATGATGGTCTGCCCAAGCTAATGGCCGCCATCGCCTCATCAGATTCCTTGTAACTCGTGAGAGCAGCCAGCTAGTGAAGAACTCTCTCTATTAGATCAAGAGCATATCGGAGTGAAGCTCCTGCCTGCATCTCCAGACATATGTGTGGTCCGCTGGTCCTTTTCTTGGAGCCACACCCAGTCTTTTCTACTGGAGTGCTCCAGTGACAGCACTGTCACTGTGTGCAGCACAGTGTGCTAGCCACCTGCAGTTGGGCCAATGACATGTGGGCCTAACAGACGGCTGGCCCACATGCCATTGACCCAACTGCAGGTGCAGTTACGGCACCCAAGCAGCGTCCCCAGTAGTACTAGTAGCTCAGGCGCCTCGGGTTTGCAAAAAACAGAGAAATGCTTGACCTACCAAAGTAGAAGCTCTCTGAAACAACCAAAAACAAAGACTGTAGTACTACTTGAATTAGAATTATCATCAACTGTCATAGTAGAAGTAGTATAGTAGTATGTTAGTATGACGAAAAGTATCCCTTTATTTTCAGAAAGAAAAAAGCATCCCTTTATAGATTAGATACCTTTCGTTCTGAAGCAGCTGTAAACTCTCTTGGTGATGGCAAATCAACAAAGCCAGTCATCTCTGACCATCGCCATATGTCTGAATACGAAAGAAGAAAAGAAGCATGACAGGCATCAGTGCTTAGTGGTTGCAGATACCTCAATACAATTGGAAACAGAGGAGGGGAATGCATTCCGGTCTGTACCACCACGGCTTCTGTTCTCTGTACCGACGGGTCGCATGCATCCTCTGATGGAACAAAGAATGGGCGGTGGAATCTACCGACATGGATGTCCGCGAGGAACACGACCACCTTGGACTAGCCAATGCTGACCGCCGTCTGATCGCTGAGGGAAAATCGCGTGGGTTTACGCGGCTGAGGTTGGGATTCAGGTGAGATCCACACGGCGACGGCGAGGTGGATCGGAAGGATTGGGTTATCCTACTTACCTGCGACGCGAGGGGCGTGGATATGGCCGCCGAAGTAGGCTCTCACCATCTGCTTCGGCTGCGACTGTGGTATCATCACCATCCCCAGTTTCCCCCGTCTACGCGCCTTGCCCTGCTCCTGAATTCTGAGTGCCGGGCAAGGGGCCAGAGCGGCCGTGGACGGCGAGGGCCCTGCGCCGAGCGTCCCCGTCGTAGCTCATGCCCTCCGCCATCGGCCGGTGCCGGGAAAGGTCCTTGGCCTCAACGACGAGCTGCCTACCATGTGCTCGATGAAATGGCCCGGGCAGACGAGGAGGAACAAAGACTGAGAGGTGGAATGCCACCTTGGACCGCCACGTGCACGTTCCGGTCGAAAAAATATGCCACGTATCTCCAAAACCGCCTCGCGGGTATGGTTCTGGGCCAAAAAATTTCCCCTTTTTATGGAAACATTGACAAACTATGCATTACAAGTTGGAATAAATAATATACGGAGCAACTAGTTGAAGGAGTCTCCCCAACGATCATATGCGTAATCACACGCCGGTCGCAAAGCTGCAAACACGGAGACGTCCAAGGTTTTCCTCCTGTCCCTGGCGCTGGAATCCTAGCCGCCGCTAGAAGACTAATCTTCCAGCGTCGTCCTCCGGCGGCTCCCTTCCGCCGGCGATCTCGGTCGTCAGTGGTGAGGGAGGCCGCCGGATCCACGCATGTGGATCGCTTTTACTCTCTCGTAGTTTAGATTTTTAGGTTGCTCATCGTCTTTGTTTCGGCGGCAACGATGATAACGCTGAATAAAGATTCTTCGGATCCTTCCTTGACAAGGCCATCGGTCCTATGGTTGTGGATGGATTTGGAAACCAGTCTGTTCAAGCAAGGATGACGTGGCGGCGGCGGCATCCTCGTGGTGGACATGTGTCCTCGGGCTCCGGCGTTGCGACGGCGTTTGCTCCAGCGTCGACGCGGAGCTTGGGAGGTAGTTCAGGAGCGGATGCAGATTGTGGTCTGCATCGACGACATCTGGAAGACGGAACATGTGCTGGGTTCGTGGTTCGTGGATGGCAGGTATTGTTTTCTTCTGCGACGTCTTAGTCATGGTGGGGTGCCAGATCTGAAGTTCGATGACGTGTCCGGGGTGTTGCCCCGGTCTGATTCGTTCAACGGTAAGGGCTTCACTTTTGGTGAGCCACCTTGGAGGTCCGTAAAGCTGCATATCAGCGATGGAGCCGCATCGAGCTCGGGTGAGGAGGTGATCCATCATTCTTTTCTTCGGTGGCTGCTGTCGTGGTGCCGGAGGCAGGTGATGGGCGTTGGTGTCAAGCTCAGAGATGTTCTGCTAGCTTTTCAATTTTGTCATGTCGGTCCTTACGTGACTTATACTTTAATCTTTATGATATGAATAAGACACGTATTACCATGAAAAAGGATCATATGCGTAGGCTGAAAGCATACGATCTCAGACGTCGCAACGTGTCGCGCTCCTGTAGATTTTTTTTCCACATGCGTTGACGGCTTTTTAGATGGTTTTTCGGGGTTTCTCGACATTTCGATTTTTCTACGGGTCATTCTTAGCTTTTAGCCAAAAAATATTCTACTTTTTTTCATGTGAAAAAATGGTTTATTTCCATGAGACACATGGTTTTTCTTCCGCGAGAGGCATGGCCGTACCTTTCAGAAACAAAAAAGAACATGTTTTCTATTTTTTTTCATCCGTGAGAGGCACGGTCATGCCTCTCGGAAAATTAAAAAAAAAGGTTTTTTCTCTTTTCTTTTCTTTTGCGAGCGGCACGGTTTTGCTCGGTGAGAGGCATGAATGTGCCTCTCGAAAAATGAAAAAAATGTTTCCTTTTTTTACGCGAGAGGCACGGTTTTGCTTTCACGAAAGACATTGTTTTGCTTCTGTGAGAGGCATGGTCGTGCCTCTCGAAAACAGAAAAAATGTGCTTTATCTTCTTCTTCTTTTTTTAAAAAGTGTTTTATCTTCTTCTCTTTTCCTTCTATGAGAGGCACATTTTTGGTTCCGCGAAAGACACGGTTTTATTTCCGCGAGAGGCAGGGTCGTCCCTCTCGAAAATGAAAAAAAAACATGTTTTCTTTTTTTTTCCGCGATAGGCACGGTTTGGTTTCTGCAAGGGGCATTGATTTGGTTCCGCGAGAGGAACGGCCGTGCCTCTCGGAAATGGTTTTCAAAAAGGAAAAAAAACATGTTCCCGGTTCGTTTGACCGTTTGTTTTTTTTCACATATTTTTTCGTCAAAGCATATCAAGATGTGATCTAGTTTTGAAGATCTTGACGTGAGGAATCCAACGGTGAAAACGGTTCGAGATCTGGACGGACGATTTAAGAGATAAAACGTTTTGAATAAATGGATCTATGAAAAAAAGAAAACTCTTAGGTTACGACAAATGTTGCACATGCAACGCGTCACTTGTCACAACCGGAGGAAGTGGGTATTCCTCAATTAGTGATGTTGAGAATATACTTACTTTTCTCACACGACACTTTACTTTTCCCTGAGGTAGCCCATTTTCTCAAGAGGCCCGAAGAGCCTCACGGGTATAATTAAAACGCCAGAATAATAGGACATTTTTCTGCAAGGAAAACTTCCAATTTATTCATCAACTATGAAAATAGTACACTTAAAGTACTCTAGAAGTAAAAAAAATATCCAAGTCCATAGACCAACTAGCGATGACTACAAACACTAAAGCAAGATGTTGTAGGGTAGGATGTGACTAAAAAAATGCATTACTGTGAGTTGGGCCGCACACGAATTTTTTTGGACCAACCGTCGCACCCAAGCCTATGTCGGCGCTGCCTCCCACCGGCGCCGGCGCTGGTCCGTCCCGTCTCCGGTGGCCTTAGGGCCATGGAGGCGGAGTGGATCTTGGTCCTTGCCGGTGGGAGGGCTCCGTTTTAGGTCTTTTTTCGAGCTTTATTAGGGTTTGTGTCCTGCTCAGGAAGGCTAGATGGCGGCGGCTCCCTGAAGATGGAATAAAGGTCTCCTCGCTTAGCCCCCGTTCCGGTGATGTGTCTAGCATCATCGGTGGGCGTGTGTGTTGGAAATATGCCCTAGAGGCAATAATAAAAGCATTATTATTATATTTCCTTGTTCATGATAATTGTCTTTATTCATGCTATAATTGTGTTATCTGGAAATCGTAATACATGTGTGAATAACAGACATCAACATGTCCCT